CGCAGATGGTGCAGGACTGCTCATCTTCACCTGCACCCCCTCCTGGCATCGGCTCTGGCTCACCTGCCCTGAGAGCTCGCTCGGCGTCTCCAGGCGGATCGATTGCGTTGGAGATGGAGGTGCCCAGGCCCTCTATGAGGAGGCGAGTGGTCGCAGCCGCCTCTTCTTCGGTTAGGCATGCTTTGAGTCCTGTGGTTCGCAGAAGGAGGCGGATCTGGCAGTTCCTGAATGGGGAGTGGGCGCGGGGGGCCTGCTCCTCCCCTCACCCAGTATGCCTCTGATGTCGTCGGGGGTGTGTATACCCGCTATCTGCAGCCATTTGGCGTGGACTTCGAACGGTCTGGTGCCCGTGCCTCTCACCTGGAGCACTGGTCGGAGGAGGGGGGTATAGTGCGGCGCCAGGCACAGCCGCATGGCCCTGGATATCAAATTCCCTGGCTCAAGCTGCGACCTGGTCTCTCTGAGCAGCCCTTCCGCCACTTACTGCGCTTCTGCGCCGCTGAAATGAAAGAGGTGCGGTCTATGCACAGCTGCCTGGATTTTCCTGCGGCCTCCTCATCTCTTTGCGTGGCGTCCAGGGCCCGAATGAGGGCGTCCAGCGTGTCTCCTCTGCCGCGTGCCTGAGAGGGGGACCTGGCGCTGTTGTTTGAGTCGTCACCAAGTAATTGTCTGACGTCTTCGTGCCAGGGGGTCGTGGTGCCCTGTGCCCCTCCTTCTGTGGGAGAGGGAGGGTGGCGACCTCCGGCTCTTCCAGCGCCCGCATTGCCGCCCCTGGCGTGCGCCCTGGCGCTTCGGGCCTGCGTCCCGCGTTCCACTGCGTTTGTCTGCCGTTAGGGTTGCCTCTTGGAGGTGGCCGAACGGATCAAGCCAGCCCACGGTGCGTTCCTGGAGCTCTGGGTGGATGTATCCCCACTGGGAGGGGGGCCTCGATCACACTTCCTGTCTGGCGAGATAAGGTTGCCGCTTCTAGTCCGAGGCGGTGGCGCGCTCCCTGCAGGGAGGTAATGCCCATGGAGTGCCATCGCCTGGCTGCGTGCGCCACTAAGGAGCGCGGGGCCCCGGTGGCCTCGAAGACGTGCTCGAGTGTGACCCGGCCCCCCTCTGTGGCTGACTCCCAGATGAATGGTACTGGGAGCCTGCTCCAGGTCATGTTGTTTGGTATGCTGTCGCTTGCTACCTGCGCGCGGATCTCCGAGATCTCCTGTAGCAGTCGGCGTGCGCTGCCCTCCCTCTCTGGGGGGAGCTGGGTGCCTCTACTCAGCTGGTGCCCATCGCCTGCTCGATTCTCGTCTCCATCTCTTCTCACGGTTTGTTGGTTGACTCCGCGAGTCAAGGGGGGGCCCGTCCCTCTCGCCCTTGCGCGCAGCGCGATCGCGAGACGCGTTGCTTCACCATGGGGGCTGCCTGGCGCAAGGTGGTCGGCAATGAGTATTCCATCTCTTCTGGCGGAGGCGATTAGGGCTGCGCAGGCCACCTCGGTCGCCTCGGCACTCGCGCCCTGCGCCTCGATGGAGGCCCTGTCCGCGGGGGTGGCGAGGAGAGCTTGACCCAGAAAGATGCCGCTTATTTCTCCGTGGAGCCATTCTGAGTCCTCCGTAGGGAGGTTGCCCAGGCACTGCTGGTATCTTGTCCTCAAGTCCTGAGCCCTGGGCCTGGCGCCCGCTGGGTCGGAGAGTTGGGCTGGCTGTGCCGCGCTGGAGGTTTGGGCAAGGCCTCTGGGCACCCAGTCGCGTAGCGGCCCGCTGGAGGGGATTCCCCTGATGCGGTCCCGAATTTGGGTAACAGTCTCCAGGGCCCATCCCTGCGGGGCGCTGCAGAATCTGGCGAGGGCGCCCACCGCGGCTCTGAGCATCGGTTCGCCTCCCAAGCTTGCGTCGTCCCTTTCGGCAGTCGGGTGCCAGGATTCGTTTGCGGTTCTGCCGCTGGTGAGCGCCATGTCGGTCATGTGGCGCCATGCTGCGAGTAACTCCGAGATCAGCCATGACGGGGAGTAGCGGGTAGCTGGTGGTCTCTGGTGGGAGGTCTGGGGAGCCGACGTGGCCGGCGATAAGGGCGCATCGCGCCCCCACCCTGGCCAGTTGGAAGGTGAGCGAGGTGCCTAGCAGGTCTAGGGAATGTCCTGGGGCTTCGAGGCTGTCGGGGTAGAGCCCGTTCGTGGCCAGTGCCCAGAGGGGGGCGAGCCTGTGACAGACGATGCGCGAGGGTCACGCGCAAGCCAGCAGCCCCAGTATCACATCTGTCGACAGGGCGGAAGAAGCCCCCGAACCTTATCAGGTGGGATGTACTGTTTATGGGCCAGGGCCCTTCGGGCGTGTCACTACCCTCGAGGATGGGCCCTGTGATGCCTGGGGAATGGGGCCCGCGCCTGGGATGGCAGAGGTGGCCCAGCCGTCCCGTCCCGTTCCATGCTGTTCAATAGAAAGGGCGTCCGCCCCTGCATCGGCCCAATGGCCCCTGCGGACCGCCCAGTTCCTGACCTCATTGTGGTCTGGGAAGTGTACCAGGTTGCGTCGGTGCTCGTGGATAAGGTAGCGGCACAGCTAGGCTCTGCGCTCAGAGTCGGACTCAGCCAAGATCGCGTCGGTTGCGTCGGGGGCTGCGTCGTGGCGCCACCTCGAGAGCCCTAACAGGGGCGCGGAAAGAAGCCCTCCGACGGGTCCCCCACTCCGATGTCGGTGTAGAGGGCGGCGTAACGCAGGACATCGTATTCTCTTTCCGTCGCAATGATTTCGGCCTGGGTTGGTTCGTCGCAGTCCAGGCTCTCCGTCTCGATGGCAGGGTCCTGTGTCAGGCTTGCGTAACGAAAGGCCAATACCTGAACTGGGTCCGGACCTACTCCTCCGAGTCTCGCCTCGTGGTCAGACACTGCGATCGACCACGCCAACCAGGAAAGGTCGAGCTCTGCAACTGCCGAGGCGCAAGTGTACCGCTGCTGGGGTGACTCCTGCTCCGTTTGCACCGCGTGGCTGGGGCCTGCCCTGAAGGGGCATTGGGCGCCCCCTGCTGTGGAAGGGCCCCCGCTGACGGCTGCGTGCCAGGGAGGGTGGCGGAGCCAGCAAAAGCTTACCATACTTTCAAAGCCATTGTTCATTGCTTGGTTGCGGGGCGAGCGCCTGGGGAGCTCCCTCCGCGGCCCCTCCATTGGCTCGTGGTGTTCCATGAGCGCCGCTAGTGTGCCTCCTCTCATGGTGCCTCTTGGGTCGACGACCCATGGGGCCAGGAGGGGGGCGTTGGCGTCGCGGGTGCCGCTTCGCCTGGGATGGGGGGAGGGCCTGCGGATAGCTGGGTCTACGCCATGACCAAGGTCAGCCACCTGCCCATCCGCATTGAGCAGCCTTGAGCCTGGCGGTGGGGACAGGGGGAGGCCTGGAGGTGGAGTGATCCGGCGACCGCGGGAGCGGGTGGCTGATCCGTCGTCGATCTCGCCCATTCCCAGTCGACCTCATCCCAGGGCTGCTGTCCGCTGTCAGCATCGATCCCGATCGGGTGGAAAGGGAGCGCGGGGGAGATCTCACTGTCTTCGCCCAGGCCCGCAGGTGGAGGAGGGATCGGGAAGGCGGCGGAAGGGGGCATGCGGGGGCGAGAGGGGCGGGTTGAGCGGGAGATCCCCCCCGCTGGCGCTGATCAAATCCAGCGGGCTCCTGGGTAGGATGTCCTCTCTGTCATCGTGGGCGTCCTGCGCTCCCGCCATGGGCGCAGGCGGGGCTCGATCCTGGGGGGGGGGGTCCTCGGGCGATCTGCGATCACCGGCCTCATTCGTTGGCATCTCGCTATGGTGGGGGGCGCAGCCAGAAGCCGCAGTCACTGATGAATCTTGGTTAGAATTGGTGGCGCAGCCAAGAGCCGCTGAACACAGATCCTGGTCATGAGGAAGAGGAGGAAACTGGGGGGCGCAGCCAAAAGCCGCATTCACCGATGTATTGGAGGAGGAGGGGGGTTGGATGGCCCTCTGGAGCAGTGCCGTCTGCTCAGAGTCCACTCTTTCTTCCTCACCTAGCGGTCCCTGAGGTGAGGCATCCGTGGCCGCGAGGGGGGGGTCTGCTTGCCTGCCCCCTTGGTGGAAGGCCAGCACCGTCCACTTCTATGGACTCGTGTCGGCTCTCTCCAGATACCTCGTCCACACGGCCGCCTCTTGGTTCCCTACGAGAGCCTCGTTCTCGGCCTCAGGGGGCTGGGTGGAACCTTCTGCTGGGGCTTCGCAATCACGGCCTGACCCCCTGCGGGGGGAGGAGGGAGGCGTGGACGGAACTGGGATCAGGACGGGGTCCAGGGAGGCGTCAGGGCGGGCTCCATCCCCCTCTATATGGCTGCCGTCCCCCGCGGGAAAGAGGGCCAACGTGGACACACCTGACGTCGGCCCTGTGTCCGCCTCGACTGCGGAGGGGGGTTGCTGCCTGTGGGGGGTCTGCGCCTGATCTGGATCTGGGTGGGGGCCGATCGAGAACAGTGACTGGGCTCCCGCGCCCTGCACTGAGGGATCATTGCCTCCATCTCCATCGTCAGGCTGATCCTCCATGGATCTGAGCCGCGTGCCGCAGCAACACCGCGGGCGAGCTGATATCGCGGGCGCGCGCTGGCGGAGCGGCGGGGCTCAGGGCCGTGGGGGCGCGGTGCAGCGTCCGGCCGCCCCCTTGAGCCAGGGGGGTTTGAGCCAGAGGCTTGAGCCAAGGCTTGAACCAGCTGGCTTGAGCCAGGCTACGGGCTGATGGGGATACGAGGAGCATCTAAACTTTCCCCAAACCTCAGGGACCTGTCGAGAAGCTTTGCCTCCTCCTCCTCCTCCTCCTCCTCGTCCTCCTCCTCCCTCTCCCTCTCGTCGTAGCGATCGTGGTGATTGCGTTGTCGTCGCCATCATCGTTGTCGTCATCGCCGTCGTCCGATGTCTGTGTACCTGTCTTCGATGTCGCCGTGGTCGTCGTGGTGGTCGTCGTCGTCGTCGTGGTCCCCGTCGTCGTCGTCGTCGTCGTCGTCCTCGTCGTCATTGCCATCGGCGCCCAGACCTTGGAGATGGCGGCGACTCTGGAATGGGCCCAGTCGCGACCCTGCAGGTCTTGCCCCAGCGCCAGCGGAGAAGCAGCACGCTGAGGAACGTCGAGACCTCGACGACGACGGCTACGACGACGACGCCATGCGATGTTTTGAGGTCCTCGGAGGTTGGGGGAAGTTGTCGCGAATTGGCTCGTCTCCTGAAGGTTCTGGAGGAACAGGGGGAGAAGAGGGGCAAAAGGAATCACAGCTGGAGGAGCGACACATGGAGGAAGACAAGGGTGAGGAGTAGCACGTCTTTGGGATGCCATTTTTTTTGTGCTGAGGCTTTTGAAGGCAGTCGCAGAGTCTTGGCGTTTTTCGATGTTGTTGGAAACGAGGGGGGTTCTGGTAAGTTTTCGGGGCCCTGCGTGTGAAGGCGGGAGCCATATCCGCCTGACAGCACGGCGCGCCCTCTCTGAGCTGAGAATGCAAGATTTGTTCCAGCACGAAGCCAGCGGAAACCGTGACAGCAGTCCTCCCGCTCTTCCCGTAACCTCCCCAAACCTGATCCCCATAACGCAACATTCCCAACCCTGATCCCCGTAACAGTCCTCCCCAAACCGCGTGCACGGTGGCGCGTACGTATCCATTTAGGCCCGAGTGCGAGGGCAATGCGGGGAAGCGCGCAACAGAAGGTGCTCACCACGTGTCCCAGCCTTGCACTGCAGATATGATGTGGTGTCACTGCTCTCGCCTGAGCTTTATCGTGTGCTGAGTGCGCCGACAGAGTACTCCTCCTCCTCCTCCTCCTCCGCGTCCTCCTCCTCCTCCTCCTCCTCCTCCTCCTCCTCCCGCTCCTCCTTCCTCCTCCTCGACCTAGCAACGAGGCCAGCAACTGCACGGATGCTCCGAGCTGCAGCGGGCCCGTAAGGCTAAACAAAGCCAGGGTCCCGTAGGCTGACCCCTGCAATGCCGATCATGCCGCCAGCAACCATCGAGCTCACAAGACATGCGAGACGAGCCCCCTTCGTAAAGCAGAGGACTCACCAATTGCCAAGGCTTCCTCCTCCTCCTCCTCCTCCTCCTCACCCTCGTCTATCCTCCATTGTCCATCCGTAACCACTACATCATTCATCCTGCTGGTCTGGTCTGGGCCTGTCCTGCCAGTTGTTTCCCTCGCTGGGCAGCGCGGCCTGCCCCCCGCGCGCCGGCATGCCTCCTCCTCTCTCCCTCCCTCCCTCCGCCCTCCTCCCAGCCTGTGATCGCTTGGGCTGTTCTTCAGGCGGCACTGGCTACCATCCATCTTCCTCGTCGTGCTCGCCCTCAGTCCTCCAGATCGAGCTCTGATCGATGTCCAAACCTGGACAACCCGATTTCAAACACCTCGGTTTCCCACTGTGGCTTGTGCTCCGTGGGCCACAAGGCCCGCGCTGAGCCTCCAGAGGCAGGAGCTCACAAAAAGAGGCCGTCCTGTTCTATAGTGGCCGTTACCAGCTTCAAAGTCTGTTCATGATTCACATAGTTGTTGTCGGGCTGGTGGACTCACCCATGCCCTGCACAGGGCCGCGCGGCCGACAGGCATGCTCGAGTGGCTCGCTCGCTCGCTCGCCAAAAACAGGCAATTAGGTGTAAATTTCATCATCGTACTTCGGCGATGAGTAGTTTAGCTCCGCTCGCCGTTGTGCGAATCAGCACGTCGCTAGGCAACCAGGAACCTGAAACGAGCCGACCTGCGATAAGCAAACTTCTGCAGTGAACGCGACCGTGCCGCATGCGAATACTAGCCGAACCTCAGGAAGTGCCAACAAAAAACAGCACACACATGAATCATCTTGGCCTTCTAAGGTCAAGACGCCTAGCCCCGCCACCAACGCGGCCTTCGCCCCCGCGTTCAGGCCGTCCTCGCTCTCCGTGGTGGGCACCGCCTAGAATGCCGGGCATCGCTTGCAGGCTACACCGGGCACTCAAGGCCGTCACCCCGCCTTCTTCTCCTTGTGCTCCCTCTTATACTCTTTTGTCCTCCTTGCCCTTCTGAATTCCTCCTCCTCCTCCATTCCTTCGCCACATGAATAACTTCTCCCTGTCGCACCCCGAAGCCAATTTTTAGGGCGGGCCGGGCGTTTCGCTTGAGACCACCATTTGTGACTCTGAAGCTTGAAAATTAGCAGCAGCTTCACAGATGGAGGGCGGGTCGTTATCAAAATGTGGCTCTCGCAGTAGCGCTGCCCACACCCGTTTGAACAAGTTGCAAGAGCTTCACGGATTGAGGGCGTTTTTCTATTCAAAATGTGGCTCTCGCCGTAGCGCCGCGCACATTCGTTCTAAAAAGTTGCAAGAGTTTCACGGGTTGAGGGCGGGCGCTGTTCAACACGTGGGTCTCGCCTGAGCGCCGCGCACATTTGTAAAGTTGCAAAAATTTGACGGATTGAGGGCGACCCGTTTTCAAAATGTGGCTCTAACTTTAGCGCCGCGCACATTCCTATTAAACATTTGCAACAGTGCCACGGGTTCCCATGATCACCGCACAACAGACAGTGTTTTGGAGGGATTGAAGATTGTGCGGGTGCAACAGTCATGTTGATTCGCGGTGTTGAGGTCTCAGGAAAGGCGTTCTGGCACGATTCAGGATTGTCAAAACGCAAAAATCTGGTTGATCCGTGGCGTTGGAGTCTCGAGAATCGTGTTTTGGCATGCTTCAGGGTCTTCAGACGTGTGTCTTCCAACGAGGCAGTTCACTCAATGGAAATGAACAGTTGTAGGGGCCTATGAAGAGGGAGCTTGGAGGGAGGATCTATTCCAACATCGTTGTTGACTCTTTGGTTTACACTGGTCCTCCTCCTCCTCCTCCCACCGTATCCTCTGCCTCGTCCTTGCCTTCGTCGTCCTGTCTGTTGTCGTCCTTCCCTTCCTCCTCCCCAATCCGTGTTCTCCTCGCCGTCTTCGTCTTCGGCTAGATCGTTTTCACAATTCTTCTCCGCGTCGTCGCCGTCATCTCCATACTGTTCCTCCTCGTCCTGCTGCGCCTCCTCCATCTCCTTCCACTCTTCATCCACTGCAATGGCGGCGTGGCTTCCGAGCTACTCACAGTTGCTGCATTTCCTATGCGAAAGAAAAACATAGTCTGGCGAGGAACCCAGCCCTGAGCAGTTGCATGTAACGATGGTGGTGGAACTCTTCATGCACAGCCCATGTGAGGGATGTGCCGATTGTTTCTGGGGAGACACATGCAAACACTCCCACTGGCGCCGTATGTGGAGCTCCCTGAAGGGTGCGAAGCCTGTGCGGGTACGCCGGCACACGAAGGGAACCGCATGCAAACTCTCCCACTGGGACCGTCGGTGGGGCTCCTGTGAGGGGTGTGCCGAAACGGGCGAAACACCCATGCACACTTTACCACTGAGACCGTACGTGGTGCTCCCATCTGGAGCCACGTTCCTCCTGAATGGTGCGCCCAAACGGGAGGCACTGCCATGCGGACCATCCCACTGGCATGCGAGGAGGTCCCTATTGAACCACGTTTATCGCGAAGGGCGTGCAAATGGGCAGCGCCGCCATACGGATTCTGCAACTGGGGCCTAGGTGGAGCTCCATTTCTCCTCGAAAGGGGTGCGCCGAAATGGGCGGCGCCGCCATGCAGGTGCCGGCGCCTTCACTGTGGGCCGTAGGTGGAGCTCCCTATTGGGCCACGATCCTCGTGAGGGGTGTGCCGTACTCAGGCGGCGGCGCCTTACTGACAACCTCGCTGGGGCTGCGGGCGGATCCCCCTATGCGGCCACGGAGCGTGCGAAGGGTGTGCCGCAATGAGGCGTCACCGCCACAAGGGCGCCCTCTCTGGGGCCGCAACCGGGACTCCTGAAATTACGGGGCCACGGATCGCGTGAAGAATGCGCCGCAATGGGCTGGCGGCACGCATGCGAACCTTGCCACTGGAGCCGTGGGCGGAGCTCCCTCTGTGGCCGCGAAACGTGTGAGTGGTACGCCAACGCGGGCTGGACGCTATGTGGTCGGTCCTACCGAGGCCTTCGGTGGGCCTCCCGATGGGGCCACGGAGCGTGCGAGGGGTGCGCCGAAATTGGAGGGGGGGTACTCTTCGGTTGGTTCCGCTGAGCCCTTCGGTGGAGCTCCCCATGAGGGCACGCAACGTGTGAGGAGGGTCCGACATGGGCTGGGGGTCCGCATGCGCTACCACGGGGCGGGGCCAGGGGTGTGCTGACATGGGTTTGGGAACGCTATGTTGTCGGGCCAACTGAGGCCTTCGGTGGACCTCCCCTTGGGGCCACGGATGGGTGCGAGGGGTGCGCCGAAATTTGCTGGGGCATGCTATGCGGTCGGTTCCCCTGGGGCCTTCGGTGGAGCTCCCTGTGCGGCCACGACGTGTGTCAGGGGTGTACCCTGAGATGCGGGGCCGCATGCAGTACCACCCCTTGTGGTCGGTGGACCTCGCTATGGGGCAACGAAACATGTGAGGGATACGCCAACATTGGCATTAGGAGGGCAAAAAGAGGGAGGAGGGCGAGAAGGAGAAAGAGGAGGAGAAGGAGGAGGAGCAGGAAGAGGAGATACGCGCGCTGCTGATTCAAACCGAGGACCACACTCAACACAGGAGGTTCGGGAATAACATGCGCAACGTCGCGCGACAAGTGTAAGCGGTTCGGCCACCTTCGACAAAACTGGGCGCCCGTATTCCCAATAGCCGGCCACTTGCTCGCAGCTACTCGATCGCCTTTGCGCGGTATCGCCGTACCCATGCCGACTGCAGAATGCTCTCCTTCCCCTCTAGAAAGGGGGGGTGTAGGCAGTCGAAAACGCACTGGTAAGCCAAGATATATGTTCCACCTTAGGCGCTCCCATATCCCAGGCTTTGTCTCATATCGCATGAGCAAGAGAGCAAGACGAAGCATGGGATCTGGAGTAAAGGATAGAAGGGGCATCGTCAATGGAAAAGGTATTTTCCGATCTCAGATACAAGTAGTGCGCCTCAATGAGGCACAATCACATATTAGGCCAGGCCCGGCTTGAGCCAGGCACGGCAGCGGTGCATGCTCGATATACATCTCGCCTTTAACCCTCTCCGTTTAAAGTTGGAGGGGGAGGAGACGAGCAAGCACCGCACTTCTTCATTACGCGGAAAAACAATGCTAGGCAACAGCGGCTGCCTACAAGGTAAGGGCGCGCGAGTAGCCTCGCTACGGGCGAGTTTCCTCGCTACTAGAGCGCACCTGCATGCGGGTTTCCCCGCTAGCTCGGGACGCAGGGCCGTCCTGAGACGACCTGCCCGCCCTATACGGAGTATGTTTCTTCCGCTCGTGCTTGAAGGATTGCTGGCCGGCCATTACTTGTAGGAGCAACGCGCGGTCAATACTACCTTTGGTATGACCATCGGCAGTCATATCCCGCGTGTCACACCATTGGACGCTTTCAACGATTCCGCGCTCCATCATCTGGCGGATCCAGCTAATGTGCCCAAGCAGAGTGCATTCTGTGGGCTTTTTCAGATCTTTGCTGGACAAAGACTTGAAGACAGACTCGGCATCAATAGTCAGAGTGACTTTGATACATAGACCACCCATTTCCAATATGTTCTTTAACTGTGTGGGGGTCAATGGTCCCGAGTGTAGCTCGTGGAGCGTTACAATGGTCGGGTAGCAGTCTTCCAAGTTGTGGGCTGCTGCCAGTGTTTCCGCAGAGTAGCTCGAACGCACCTGCAGTCGATGAGACTTGCAGTATGCGTCCACCAGGTGCACGACGGGTTTCCCCGCTTGCGTGTGGCCACGCCTCAGCAGGTTAGCCCCGCGGATACCGTAGCCTTTGACTTCGTCGTCTTCATCTCCGTTGAGACGACGATAGCCAGAATCGCTATGCAGGTCGACCTCTCCTGTTGGAGTCATAGCTTGATACACGATCTTCTTCGGACCTGCCTGCAATTTCCTGGTAACCGCGTTTAGTCGTCGTACCTGGATGTTTGTCGGTTCCTGGATACGTTGTAGTGAGACAACATAGACCATCAGCCATACCTGCGTGATCAACGCATAGGCTAGAGCGCCACGAAGACTGACGAACATATCAGAAATCGTCTTTGTCGCTTTGCTCTCAGGATCAGCGCCTGTGAGTTCTGGATGTGTGATAGGACGAAGCTGTTTGATGTATTCGTCCTGATCAAGAGTGACGCTCCCATCATCGGTCTTGTTGTACCGAACGGCACAGTTTGTGTATGTGTGCTTGTTCAGTTTGCACTTTCCAAACGTATCGTCAACACACTTGACATACTTGTCAATAGAATCTTCCTTCCCAGTCATATTGATGTCATCAACGTGTTTGGCTGTCAAGAAGTTTGAGCTCATCTCGAACTCTTCGTCGTATGAAGTAGGCTGTAGTCCAAAGCTCCTAGTGATGGACCTGATCTTCAACGAGAATGCCCTGGGAGCATCCTTCGCGCCCGTCCCCGGCTTCAGACACCGAAGACAATGCTTTGATTCGTCATATGACTCAAAGCCTGGCAGTGTGCGAAGGACAGCTGCTGACCCAGGAGGTAGTGCGAAGCACACCACACGCTCTTTCTCGCCTGTTGCCGCGGCGAGCTCGCTATAGGTCAGTCCCTTCAAGAAAGCCATGTTGATGTCCAGGGAAGCGATGATCCAAGCTTTGTTGCATGCAGCAGAACTTGCGAGCAGTCTCTGGTTTGACCTCCTTGCCGCGCCAGAGAAGGTTTCGACATCGAAGGCTTCAATGTCCATGAAGCCACGGAGTACCAAGCGTAACCTGATCGTCCGTTCCATTTCGCCCTTCTCGTTCTTGACAAACTTCCATGTGTATACGTAGCGTGAAGTCATGATGTTCGATGCTTTGCTCAAGTCAGTCATCTGGAAGCATTTGTTGTCAAGCCAAGTCTTCAATTCTGTGTAAAGGGCTTTGGAAACTTTGACCGGATTCGCTTGAATGTCGG